ACCTATTTCTCGGCAACTGCTCATATTACACACCAATTTTCACATACATTGTCTTCGTATGGATTAATGCTACAAGTTTATAGAAATATTTTAAAATATGTAAAGCCTGAATGCGTTGTAAATAGCTCATTTTTACACCTGTTTTCACCTTTATATTGAAATGGCACAAAAAAAACCCCCGAAATTAAAAACATTGACTCCGACTTTTTTTGCGCCTTTTGTAGGGGCATTTGTCTTGATCTATCAGATTTGCAAAAATTAACAATTGCTAGTGAAACAACGTTCCGACTCGTCAAAATTAGAGTTTTTAGCAAAATTGCGTCACAGAAATGAAATGATATGAAATGTTGTTTTATGGCACGTGAGCTCCAACCGGGCTATATTGCGCCAAACATATGGTGAAATGTTGTTTTATGGCACGTGAGCTCCAACCGGGCTATATTGCGCCAAACATATGGTGAATTTTACGAGACAAATTAAAACAATATCACAGAAATGTATTTATATATGTAAATAAAAACAAATATAACAGAAAATATAATTAAAAATGAATTATATCAAAGCTTTTACATATATAATCATTCAAAAAATAATACATGATAAAAAATATACAATTAAAATTTTAAAAAAAAGTTTGTCTCTTTTAAAAAGTTAAGCAGTTTAGAATAAAGACCCGGTTGGGCAAACAATTGATGTAAGGAATGGCAACGGTAATGATTTAATCTAATGTCTTTCAGATGCTTGCACTCAATCAAAATGTGCTTAACTGTCAATGGAACATGACAATGAACACATTCTGGTTGAGGTTCTCGCTTTAAGATGTAAATATGAGTAAAAAATGTATGACCTCTGCGAGAGCGGCACAAAACAACCTCATCTTACCTGTTAGTTCTATAGGAGGTTGGTCAGTCTCCTAGGAGAGGCTTAATGTGATGAAGTTTGTTCATGCCTGCAAGATCCCAAGACCGTTGCCAGTGCCCATATATAAAGAAGTTAATAGATGATTTAAAATCGGAGAAAGGTAAAAGAAATTGTGATATGGGAAGATCTAAATCAGACTTGGCAGCTAAGTCTGCTTGATCATTCCCTTTAATATCAACATGACTGGGGAGCCAGCAAAGGATGGTTTCCTTTGCGTTAAACTCTTGTGATAGTAGCAGAGGATAAATGTCTGCTACTATTGGGTCAATTGGGTGTACAAGCTGCTTATTGTTTATTGCCTGTAAAGTCTAAAGAGGACAAAGAATCAGTGAATACGACTTTTTCTTAAATTAGAAGATGATTGAATGAATTCCAGTGCCTGAAAGATGGCCTGGAGCTCAGCAGTAAATATGGAAGCAGCAGAAATGATTCCAGATGGTGTGACAGTAGCCGAAGCTACCCGATGAGGCGATCACCATCTTTGGAACCATCTGTGTAAATGGGAGCATAATAATCACCATATTTAGACCTTAACTCTCGAAAGAGAGACTGAAACACTGAGAAACTAGTATCTTTCTTTTTGTTTTTCGTTAGATCCAAACTGATCTTTGGAGACGATATACATGTAGTCCATGGTGGAGTACTAATTATAAACAAAGGGGTATTCACAATGCTGATGCCAGCCTCTGACAAAAGGGGTTGGATGCAAATACCGAATGATGGAATAACGTTAGTTTTCAGTAAATACAGATGTTCATGATATGGTCTAAATATGGTATTAAATGATATATGATTAAGCAGAGATGCAATTTTTTGTAGCATACTGCAGCACCAGTTTATCAAGTCTGTCATGCAATGAGAAATTGTGTCGCATCCGGTGCCGATAGCAAACTTTACCTGTAATAAAAAAAATTCAGAATTTGCACAATGGAGCATATGAACTTTTGTTTTATACAAATCGGGCAATAAATAATGAATCTAGAACTGATAAACTGAATTGGCCAATAGCGGCCAAGAAAAATTATCAGACAACCCTTTAACCCTGGGTAAAATGGCATAAAAAAATATTCATTATTAAAAAAGTTTTAAATTTTCAAAATTTGGCGCCTCATATTTCCGAAGATTCGTCAAATATCATAAATCTAAAACACTGTAGCTATGTGCCATGTCTCCAACTATGCCAAAATGTATCAAATATTAAAATCCAACGATTCTTGTTAAAATTACAGCAATATTTTAAAAAACGACAACTTCAGTGATTTCAGACATTTCGCATTGTCGCAGAACGTTCAAAATAGCTTTATCACCCAATAATACATTCTACAGTAGATATCGCTTGTGTGATATATTTCATAATCTACTGCGATATCTCCTTAGGAGATATCGCTTTACATGAATTTGATTGGTCCGTTGAAAAGGAACTACTTTTTTTTATTTTCAAAGAACAGTTCATTTATTATTAAAAGTAACTTTTTTGTTATTAAAAATGAACTATTATTATTCAATTGACCTTGATGGAAACACTGGGTCAATATAAAAGGACTTTGCAATGTTTGAATTGCTGTCAAAAAATGATGTATCACTACGCCTTAATGTTCAGTAAAAGTGAAATCTACAGCAAAGAATTATATTTATCTATTTGTGCATGTAAGAAGGGATTGGGTGATAAATAAAATCTCCTACTCGTCTTTTTTGATATCAAAAAAGACTGGTAGGAGATTCTCTATTTATACTCTAAGTCACACCCACTTTTCCAGTAAAACCGAAGATATAAAATCGATCCGACAAGTAGTGGAAAAAGAAAAATAATAATAAGAACTAGATCTGCTAAGCAGATATTAAAGCTTTCATATTTACAATCACTTCCTGTCACATATATGGGTCATATAAAGAATCTGAACAAGATAAAAAAAATCATTAAAATCGGCACGAAAAAAGTCAAGGGCAAAATTCGAAATTGTGACATTTTCAAATACCATAAATTCGACCCTGATCCCGGCTATCCAGAAATGTATTCATTTTGGAAATAGGAGACGTATTCTTCAAACTCTGGCCTATTGTATTCATTTCCATGTCTGTTATCGTCGGGTTTTCACTTTTTCTCATATTCAGTTCAAAATGGTGACCATCAGTTGACCGATATCAAAATTCTTATTGGATAGATTTTTAGGCATTCCTTCAAGGATTCAGAAAATGTAACTCCCATGTCTGTGAGTAAAATACTGCGAAAGCCTTGTGGATTTTCACGTTTCAAGATGGAGGCACTTTCGGTTCAATCGGCAGACTTCATATTTTGTGTACACATCTGTACTTTCTTAGCTAGAACAGAAAAAAATTTCAAGGCACTCTGACCTATATTTCGTCGATTTTTTTGAAAATTTTGATCCTTAATTTCATCAAGGGGAGATAATTTAGAAAATTTCTAATGACATCTTTCAAGTCGCATCGGTAAGGCCTACTTACATACTAAATTTCATGAAAATCGTGCAACTATTAAAGAAGTTGTCAACTTGGTCTCAACTTCCAGTTCGAAATCACAGCGACAAATTTTTGAAATTCGAAAATTGGAAGTAAATGTTTCAAGGTACTCAAAGAAAAAAGAATTAGTAAAATAGGTCAAACAGTCACAAAGTTACAGCAATGTAGGTCAAATGCATTCGTTCGTAAAATTCAGTGATTTCAGATGAGTAAAATGTTTTGAAAATATATTCATTCCAAAGCCACTACCTATTCTTGGGGGGGAGGGGGGGTACGTCAAAGTTTCAGAAAGTTCCTATGGTTAGATTCTGAGATATGAGATTTGCAGGAAAAGAACAAAAAAAAAAATAATAATAATATTAATCTTAACAGAAACAATAAGCTTTTCACACTTTTTTTAAAAAAAATTATCAAGAAAAAAATAAGACTTTCAATGATGGACACATTATTTTATTATAGATCCTATAAATCTTTGTCAATGATTAATAATAATAGGCCTGTATACTATAGTCTAACAATATGTCAATAAAGTACGTGAAGACTCGGCCCGTACTAAAAACATGCACAGATCTAGAAATATGATAGGGTTTGGTTCAAGTTTTCTCTTTTACGGTATTGGAAAATACCAACCAAATTAAAAAACACCTAGCACGAAGTCGTCGATATCACAAGCCTCCTGTCCACAAACTTGACCTCTCAATGTTGACACAACCTTCACCCTTTATGGCGTTATGGCTTTTGAATATTGGTCGTGTATCAACCTTTGCGCTTAAATGGATATGCAAATAATAAAATTACTCTGTACTCACTTTTTTTACTGGTATTATTTCATTCGGGATAAATATACAGTAGACTTCGACGGACGCGCATACAACGGACTATCGCTTATAACGGACACAACAGTTTGGTCCCGATTTTTGTAATAGACATTTCTTATTTTCAAAGTCTTTTATAGCGGACACTGTATAATGGACAATCATTTATAACGGACAATTTTCATCGGTGCCTAATCGACAAATCAATGTAAAAGTCTATTTCTATAACGGACTCTCGAATAAGCAGAACAAAATGATGATATTACTGATTTTATTATCGGTGACTGGAATACTTTTCCCAGAAAATATCCATATTGTTTTTATGGTAAACATGTGAATACATACATGACTTTTATGTAAATACATGTATGTTCTGTAGATTCTGCATATGATAAATGCTGTTATTTCATGGGATGGTGTTACCTTCTGGTCGCTAATTCAGGGTTGATAGTAGTTTTTTTATATAACGGACACCGTTTATAACGGACGATTTCTTCCGGTCCCGAGGTGTCCGTTATATGCGAAGTCTACTGTATATGTAAAATGGCAAAAAACCTCATATGGTTTTAGACAGATAGTGTCAAAATGAGTCTTGTTTTGGATGGAATCAAAAACCTGAATATTAATATTGGGCACATTCTTCACTCCTTGGGCAGATTGCAATCTTCACTACCTTGCTGCACAAAGTCCACTCTGTCTGTGCAGATTGGACCCTGCGTGCGGAGATTGTATGTCCAAAAATATTTGCTGTAATTATTTTTGTATAATTGAAATAAATACACTTACATTGTATAACAAACAGTTTTATTTATCAAAGTGCAATGTACATTGTAGCTTGTAACGTGTTTCTGAATTCTGGTTAAGTGGACATAAATCTTTAGATTCGAGTATGCCGATGACCCAATTTTTTCAGATTGTAGTCAGGCTGTGAGGCAGCAAAAATTTGGTGAGTTCCCACTAAAATATATTATTGTAAGCAACTCATAATAAATATACCCTTTAAAGATTTTGGTTAAATTGATGGTGGTTTATGGCTTTCAATCATTTGTACATGCTGTCCTGCTAACGCAGTGATCATTATGAATACAGAGTAGGATTAGGCGGATTATTATCGTTCGTTTGTTCGTGGGGTGGACATTCGGATTATCATTGCGGTAATCCCAATACCTTGGACAGAGTTAACTCAGCGCGCAGATTAGTCAACGGAAATTAGACAGAGATTCACGCATGCGGCGCGCGGGGGTAATCTCTTCACGAGGGGCAATCTGCACTCATCATCCTAAAACTTGAATTTGACTGAAAATTTCAATATATTCCCTTTTCATTATCTATTTCTTAACTATAATAGTAAGAACTGTCAGTTCTTTATTAATAAAAAACTTAACTTAAGTTTGCAAGGTAAAACAAAAAAGATCCAATTGTATAGCTAAAAACAAATACATCCAATCCATCCAGATATGTTATTACTTAGCCTACTATTACTAAGCTACTTTTATAATATATAAGCAGTGTACTCTTATAAAACATTAGTTCAGCCCTGAACGTAGGTCTCATTACACTCGGCCTGTAGCCTACATTCAGGAACCGTCCTATTGAATCCTTGTCGAAAAATTTCGTTTGCCAGTCAACTATACTAGTAGGGCTATGAATGCTGTGATGTCATCGTGGCTAATTTTCATCGATGGCGTCAAAAATCAGGACACGCATTACAAAACACTAATTTGTAAGCAAATGTCTGTACTTAAAACTAAAATGATTTATATGGTATGAATCAGAATTGAATTAGCATTTCAATGGTGTTATTTATATTTTGGTACGCTAATTACCTGTCGAGAAATCGTCCGTTGAAAAGCGTATACGGCTTATCGAGGGATTTTCTCGCCGTAAAATTTTGTGGCACACAGATTTTTACGATTTTCGGATTTTGTATGCTATTTTTAGTCGTTTCGTAGCTAATGGTGACACACGGGATATCCAGAATTCTTATCCAATCAAAAAGAGGGAATGCTAAATTTTATAAAACCGCGTGCGCTGAATTTCTAACTCAATTAGGAGCCGAGATAGGTCAAATTGAAGGAATAATTAGCTTTTTAATATTATTTATAAAATAAAATTTTCACACGCGCACTCAGATTTGTGAAGAAGAATATGTTTTCTACAAACTGCAAAAAAAATTATTCTAAAATATTAATAAATAAATAGCTACGACGCTAATATGTGAGTGAGGGGTAGGCGTCAATTCTCGACACAAAATCCAGGGGGCGTGGCCGTGCTACGTAAATCTTCGCGAGATTTTCAAGGACGTATCCACAGAAGAACTTCAAGAAGATTGTGGAACATTATGTAAGTTTTCAAATGTGGAATTCGTCTTAATCTAACTTAATCGTAAAACGATTTTGGAAATTCATTTCTCCACTTTAAAAAACGGTTTCGGAACCAAGATCTTTGGGTTATAAACTTACATTTCAATTTTCAACAAAATCGGATAAAAATTGTGACCTCCATAGGGTCTACAACCTTGATATACCATATTTTTACGCTATTTGAGAACGAACGGAGGCCATTTTGTCTGTCAGTTTTGGGCCGATTTCACGAAATTCGAACTCAGCCGTCCTTAGGGTTTAACGGTGATATAATAATATGTTTTTAAATCGGATAAAAATTATGACCTCTATAGGGCTCACAAGCTAAAAACGCGATTTTTCGTACAATCAGGGGCCATAATTCAGGAAGTTACGTTCCGATATGTGCGAATATCGAAAGGAACCGAGATCCTTGGGTTATAATCATACATTTCAAGTTTAAACTAAATCGGATAAAAATTGTGACCTCTACAGTGTTCACAAGCTAAAAACGTGATTTTTCGTACAATCAGGGGCCATAATCCATGAAGTTACAGTCCGATACATACCAATATCGAAAGGATCCGAGATCTTAGGGTGATAAACCTATATTTCAAGTTTCATTGAAATCAGATAAAAATTGTGACCTGTAGACTGTTCACAAACAATTGTGGACGGAGGCGACGACAATATACGTCCACATGAAAATGTGGGAGTATAAAAACACTTGTAATCACTAAATCAGAGATCATCGAACATGGTTATGAGTTTCTGTACATATACAGGACACCAACACAAGTCAAAATAAAAGGCAACTTGTCTGCACTACATTTAAAGTGTTACTCTACTCTACTGTAGGTAGGCCTAGCTAGTAGGCCTACTATTAGTATTAGTGCTAAAAACAATGCGACCGTTCACACCTAAAAGTCCAATCAACAGTGGTTAGTTTGAGTAAACTGTTGTAGTAACTAGGTTTTCTAGCTGCTCATCGGAATAGTCACAAACACTAATTAATAGATTAAAGTCTGAAATTTCTCACAAGAATTAGGCTACTGGTGCCACATGGAACACAATTAATTCACATTCAATCCAAGAAAATCTGTGTTAAAATTAGCCATTCACTAAAAAATCAGTGTCCAATACTTAGATTGGGGAACTCTTTGGCGTCTCCACCATGTTGTGTGCTGTCAAGTCCACACTAATTATTATATTTTCATCGGAGAAGATTGATCATAGAAACAAAGACTTTATCATAGGCACATGTTTTTTCACTTCCTTTCAGGGGAGCTTACTCCTAATAGTAAGTGCAGGGGGACTGCACCACATAAAATTTACACAAAAACAAATACACGGACAGGACATCATACTCAGGAAAACACAAACATACAGACAATTCAAAAAAAGTGAATGGAACCGGGGCTAGCCGTAAGCGTCGACTGCGCTGTACAGTCCCCGGTCTGTAGTGACACAGACTTCACTCAAATTTGAAAACAATTAGGAATACAACCCAAAGAACCCATTGTGTAATGCCAGCATGAGTCATGATCTGCTATATGCTACACGAAATACGAATGTAAGCATATGTAGTAAAATTCAACTATACAAGTAACCACATCGGTGAAATGTTTAAAAAAGTTGTCTAAACTCTTAAATTCAATAAAGAAACGCTTCAGTATTTAATACATATAGGGTACATGTTCCATAGTCACAAAAAACAAAAACAAAACTGAATACAGAAAAGCAAGTAGGAAATGTAGACTGTCTCGAGGGACAGCCGTCTGCTGACTGAGAATGACGTCATATCTTATGCCCCATTGACACTTTCACGCAAGCGTGGTACGCTTTGGTACGCTAAAGTTCGTACCAAGGCGGAAACTATGCGTACCATCGCGGCAAACAGTCTTATCTTATGCCCCATTGACACTTTCACGCAATCGTGGTATGCTTTGGTACGCTAAAGTTCGTACCAAGACGGAAACTATGCGTACCATCGCGGCAAAAAGTCGTAAACTATGCGTACCATTGCGTGACAGTGCCGACCCAAAACCTTGGATTTGTCCAAGCTCATGCCACGCACTCCAGGGCGTACCATTTTCGTGAACTATGCGCAAACTATGCGTACCCGGTGCGTAAAAGTGTCAATGGAAATTATGTCACGCACTCAGGGGTACTCATTGTCATGCATTGGTGCGCAAGGTTCATCACTGGTACGACAAGATCAGCAATGGTGCTCATGGGTTGATGTAGGTATCTGCCAGTGGTCAGGAATTCTTCCCGCCACTTGACGTGTTTCACTCATTGGTGCTCACAGTTTACTCATTGATCCTCACAGTGTACTCACTGGTGCTCATAATTTACTCACTGGTGCTCATAGTTTACTCTCATATACTCATTGGCAGGTTTGCTTCACTCACAGACGCCGCACCAATCAGCTTCATGTAACGTACAGTTGCTCCATGTTCCACCATCAGAAGCTCCACCTTCCGCTCCAACATCAAGGTACAGAAATTGGTACCCAGCATCCACCACTGCAAGAAGCACGATGCTATGAAAGTTCTTGTAGTTAAAGTAGAAGGATCCACCCGAGGGGGGTTTCTTCATAGCAACATGCTTGCCGTCAACGGCTCCAAGACAGTTGTGGTAATTCAATCTGCTACTAAAACCTTCAGCAATAGTCTTCCACTGGTCTTCTGTTCTAGGACAAACTAATACTTCTGTCTTGTAGACCTTGACGATAGCTTTACATACTTCTGGTAGAAACTTGCATATAGTGCTAAGTTCAACTCTGAAAACTGTATTGGAGACTTGCATAGGAATCGCCACCGACTAAGAAGCGGAGTGTGATTGCTAACTTCAGGCCAACTTCAAGAGGTTGTCTCATAAATGTTTTATTCTTCTTCAGGTGTGGGGTCAACTTTTCAATCATCTCTTGAAACAGTTCGGGGGTGATACGTAGGAAGTTCCGGTAACCTCTGCAATCTTCCTTGTGTAGTTCCGACAATAACTGGTCATCATAATGGCCAAAATGTTGTCTCCTTGTCAACCATTCCCTCACCCAGAGTCTCCTGACTTTTCTTTTCTTGCTAAAGACAGACGTTCTGTCAGTGTCAGGTTTTGATTGTAGAACAATATTTCGTTCACTTTCATCTTCTTCCAACAGTAGTAGACCAGCAGCTGCTGTAAGATGTACGTTTTGCAAAGTAAGGTTCCTTTCTTCAAAGTCTCTGGAGTTCATCATTTTGAAGAGTTGCCGACGGAATGGACCATATCCCAATACCTTTCCTTTATATATACTATTTCTATGAAGCGTGCCAGTGCATGCCACAAAATTATTCACAAAATGGTCACGCATGCTTAAAACTGAGAACTCTAGCGTAACCAATACCTGACAATGCAGGAACTGGCGTACCATAGCGCAAGTGCTCGGTCACCTGCGCAAACTGTGCGCAAACTATCCGCAGATATTGCGTACTGTAACGGGACAATGATGGACGATGCGGACACATGAGAGACAACTAACATGGTACGAATGCGCACAAGTGCGGACAGATTTTGAATACTATGAGCAAAGGTTGGTCGGCAACGGTACGAAGTATTTGATTTTCAGGTG